CAAGTGAACATGCTGTAGCTGCAATTTTATCTCAAGAAGGTCATCCAACAATAGTGTACCTGTCAAGAAAATGTCAGCTGAAGCTAACTACTCAGATACTGAGAAAGAAGCATTAGCAACAGTATGGAGCACAGAAAGAGCTTAGGATTAAAGTTTTTGTTAAAGTTAGATCACAAAATTTTAGAGTTTATATTTAACCTTGGAAAGGAATTATCAAACGTCATATCTTCTAGACTTTTAAGATGGGCTATAAAACTCATGGCCTTTGATTTCAACATCATATATGTAAAGGGGGAACACTATTGCACATGGATACGCTATCCAGACTAAATTTCAAACATCTGAAATTTCAGAAGATAAAATACTGCACAGGGTTGAAAAAGACGTGTTACTCCCAGATCAGCTCAGAATGGAAACCATACAAGATCCAGTGTTAAGTAGAATTTCAGATAGAATAAAAGGAAAGACATGGAGCAATTGTTCAATGGCAGAAAGACCCTACAAAGAATCAAGACATAAGTTAACTGTAGAGAAAGGCATAATATGCAATGGAGATATTATAATACCCCCACTAAGTTTAAGAAAAGTACAAAAAGTTGTACATGATGATGTACATTGTGGTATAACATTGACACAAATGAGATTAAAATTACAAGTGTGGAGGCCAAGATATTCTTGAGATGTAGAAGACTATGTAAAAAGGTGCCCAAAATGTGCTGAAATAAAAAAAAAAAAAAAAACATTCAGTAAAGCAAAATTCATCTGTAGCCTAAAGCAAAAGAACCATCGGCTCAGGTACACAAGGATCATTCCTATATTAAAGGCATTGGGGTTATTTTGAACTTTAGTGGACTCATTTTCAGGATGGCTCTGAAGTAACTAAGGTTGGTTGACAGAAAAGCTACCACTGTAAAACAAATATTAAGAACAATATTTTTAAGGAATGGGTGCCTAAAACTTTGGTCTCAGATAACGTGCCAAAAATTTGTGTGCATGGCTAAAGCGTATTGGATGTGTCCTGTATAAAACACAACCTTACCACCCACAATCGAATGGAATTATAGAAAGAATGGTGTAGACTGTGAAAATGGGACTAAATGCATTTTCCTCATCTCATGATAATGTAGAGAATTACTTACCAAGATTACCATTAAGTTATAGGATAATTTCACATACTGGCATACTACAAAGTCCCTCTGCATTAATGGGTAGATAGATTAGAGATCCCGTAACAATGAACAGATTAGAGCTCCCATAAAAATGTCATTTTCAACAAGTGAAAGTGTATGGTATAAAAAGGACAAAGAATCTAATCCAGAGAAGGTGAACTTTGCAGTACAGAAAGGACAAAATACAGCAATACTAACAAAAAAATGAACAAAATGTACTGGCCTGTGTGGATCAATTCAAAAACAGAATGGAACCTGAGGATACAGAAATAGATGAGGAATCTGAGGGTGAAGAACATGAAGGAGGAGGAGGAGAAAGAGGGGACTAATAAATCCAGTAATGAAACTGAACAATATATGGATGTCAAAGACCAAATCTGATAAGGAATCGGAAGAGGAAAAAGAGTCAAAGATCAATGAAAGGCATAAGGCTATCTCCGTTCAAGATGTAGTATTGTATGTAAATGCCAGTCGAGCTACCATCTGTTGACCTGATAACGTCTATTCCAAAGAGTACTTCATTACACTAATTATTGCATTGCTGGTCTTCTGTATTTCTTTAGGCTTTATTTTTACTTTTTCACACACCTTATATAGGACAAGGGTAGAATTACATAGTTTTTATTTTGTCCTTTGACCTCACAGGCTACTGTGCATAAATAAAATGTTCTTTTCAATTTGTGTTGTAACCTAGGGAAGGTTACTGAATAGAATAATCAAAGATTGGTAATGAATGATAATACTTAGGACAAGAACAACACATATAAGATTTGCCAGCAGCACATAGTAGTAGTCAACTGCTAGAAGTGAGTCAAGTGAATTCCACAATGAATCTCCAACTGCAGACCAACATACAGTATTTACTACTGTATTTATGTGAATGGGGACATACCCATTATTGTCCGTAGGTATGCTACAAAAATTTGGTTTTAAGTAAAAGGTAAGCATTAATTTTAAAAAATCAAGTTAATTAATCCTCAAATTTATGAAGAGACTCTGAAATACATCCCTAAGATAAATATTGGATTTTAAAGAGAAGTTTACATTCGTTGTTTAAATTTTTCATATACAATGGTGGGTCAATAAGTAATGAAAAAAGTGTCATGGTCTTAAAATCTCTAAAAAATTTATTTATATAAGGAAACTCATTTTTCTTTTAATTCAGTTTAGCTTCTTTTTAAGGTCATTTATCTAATAAATAGAAGCAAAATTTAAGTTCAAGGAAGATATTTAAATTATACAAAATGCATTTTTTTTTTTATTTGTGGCAGTGACTATTAAAAAATGTAATAATTCTAGCAGTACAATGCTGCATGGTCACATGACAGGAAGCAACATCAACCTGGAACATTGCAAACCACTTCAGCCATCAAATGTTAAATTTCAGTCTCAATGTCAATAGGTTTATTGTTCAAGGTTTATAAATAACTGTTCACTTTCACTTACACAATAATTGCATAATGATATAGAAAATAAGCCCTTTCCATCACAATTATATACCCACAGACATAACACCTCCAAACTTTATTTTTACCAAAGAGACAATATTAAAAACATGCCAAAAAGATTCCATGATACAACACACATGATTTAAATCAAAGTTTCTGTTGATTAGAAATTAATATTACCATGTGAAATATTTGACTAGAGTAAACTAAAATCCTATTTTTGTCAAGCTTACTTCTGGAAAAAAGAATTCTTATACAAAACCCAGAGAAATGGCTTTCTCCAATCTGAACACAAGTGAGCAGATATGTGACTGTCTCTCCCCACAGCGCTTGTTGAAAGAAATGTGTCGATGACTTAGAACAATTAGCTACAACAACAGCTTAGATGGTCATTGAATCGTCGGCGACTTCAAATGAATCAACTCCAACAATAACAAAGTATATTTTTGCTATACATAAAAAATCTTTTCTCAACAACAGCTTTTTATGGAGAACCAAACTATCTAAAAGTAATTTCTAAACTACAGCCTTTTTTGATGTACCCAAAGACTTCAACTCAACAAAAGACTATTTTTAATACCTTTTTTTTTTTTTGTTAAATTCTTTTGAATTCATGTATATATGTTTGTAAATAGAAATGATTTAACAGACATACACATGTTTTCTTTGTATTTATTTTATTATTGTTTGGAATTTGGATGTTTAATATAAAAAAACCTGGATAACTGAATTTCCTATAATGGTATAATATTCTCCATCGATTCTCATGAAGCCTTATCCTCTTGGCATCAGATATCTAAATTATAATGATAAACAGTAATTTTTGGAAAGTGAAATTTTTTTTTAAAACATTAAATTGATGCCAAGAGAATATGGGTAAAGATTGACTCTACAGAATGTTTTTGATATCAAACTATTTAAGTTAAAGTGTGTACCTCAATAAAAAAATACTTTTATTTAATATGAGATAAATTTTAAGTTTATTTCAATTTAATATTTTGAGGTTTTAAAAATTTCCATTCTCCCACTGGATATAGTGGCAGACATTAAACCTTTTTGCCAGACATGCATGCATGAAAAACCCTATCAGCAGAAGCAATCCATTTACAGCTTTTGGGGATGTGTAAAAAGAAAATAAAAGCCACAATTATTCATGCTGTAAAATGGATGCAGTTGGCTCTTTCACTGCAGACTGACATCTAGAAGGGACTTTAAGGTTAGCACTCCATTCAATAGATGCACATGGTTTAGACTATACAGCGTTCCACTGACAGGCCAGTGACCACTCATGTTGCATCTGAACCTTCAATCTTGTTTGTGTTCACTGAAAACTGTGAAAGTGTACGATGCATATGCACAAAAAGAAAAAAATGCCACATTGAGAAATAAGAACCCAAATTCTGTTCATATTAAATGTAGTTGTTTTATTTAGGGCTTTGCTCATCGATTAATCCTGATCTGATGGGGGCAATATGAAAATGGAGTCTTTGGAAATGTTTCCCACCAATAATGAACCAGCACTCTCCTTGATTCCAAGCATGACTATTAATATAGACCAGCAGCCAGATATAACCTATTTCTGGTTCTGTTGCCACTTGATCCATCCTTTTATTTATGCTTTATCCTACAATCAAAATGAATGCTGCTAAGGCGGCTGAATTTCAATAGGAATTATCTGTTGGCCCATCAAACAGAGACATTTGAGATTGAGATAAAACTGACTCTTCCTCTTCCATATGGGTGTCTTTAGTATCATACAACACATCACTTACTTACTCATCAGTAGAAGAAGTTAAACTTTTTTGTTCTGCTATGAATCATATCAAGAAGTTGCAAATCATTAACTGTTGAAATGAAACTTAGATGGGCACTTTTGATTGTTCATATATGTCATGTCTTAACTATTTCATTTTGAGAATGCAATTTTTCACAATGTCTAGGCTGATCTGATCTAATAATTATTGATTCCATTAGTATTATTTCTTCAAGACTACCTATATGACATTACATTTATAATGATTTTTAAATAGTCTGAAGCCTGCATTGACTTTTGATATTCCCAAGAAGTCACCACTCTAGGTACTGACAGGCTCAACATTTCTTAACTTTGGTGATTGAACAGATGGTAACAGGTGTTTCAATGTGATATCGTTTTTTAATACATAACTTTGCAGAAAAATTCCTGCAATAGGCCACTGACAGTTCCTGCAGTAGACTTGTTGCCAACCAAGTCTATAAGATCCAATCTGTCCTGTTATTTAAGCCATAGCTGAGGGAAGAAGAGACAGATTCATGTCTTTCCCAGGGTTATTTGTAAGTGAGTGTAACAAACTCAACTAGAATTCTAACTCGATTATTTGATTTCTCATTCCAAGATCCAAGTTTACAGCACCTGATATTCCCAAGCAGTCACCCATCTAAGTACTGACCAGGCTCAACATTGCTTAACTTTGGTGACTGGACAGATACGAACTGGTGTTTTGATGTGATATGACTGTAAGCACATCATGATACTAACTTGTATGAATTTGCATATGTTTTTTAAAATATGCATGTGTGGAAAATACAGATGCACAAACCTTGCAAGAATAGGGTTTCACTTCAGTATGTGATCGCATATGTTTTTGTAAATTTCCACTTTCTGAAAATGTAGCGCCACAAACTTTACAAGGATACGGTTTTTCTCCAGTATGTGTTCGCATATGTCGCTTCAAATGTGAGCTTTGAGAGAATGATGATCCACAAGTCCCACAAGAATATGGTTTTTCTCCAGTATGTGATCTCATGTGTACTTTCAAATTTCCACTTTCTGAAAAAGAAGCACCACAAACTTCACAAGGATATGGTTGCTTGCCAGTGTGCAAACGCATATGTTTATTAAAATTTGACCTATGCGAAAATGATGATCCACATGCCTCACAAGAATATGGTTTTTCACCTGTATGTATTCTCACATGTGCTTTTAAAGATCCACTTAAAGAAAAAGCAACGCCACAAACTTCACAGGGATATGGCTTATCACCAGTGTGTGTTCGAATATGTCGTTTTAAGTGGGAACTATGTGAAAATGAGACTCCACATGCTTCACAAGAATATAGTTTTTCTCCAGTATGTATTCTCACATGTGCTTTTAAAGTTCCACTTACAGAAAATGCAATACCACAAACTTCACAAGGATATGGTTTCTCCCCAGTGTGTGTTTGCATATGTCGTTTTAAATGGGAGAGTTTTGAAAAAGATGATCCACATATCTCACAACGCCGTTTTTCTCCACTATGTGTTTCTTTATGTCTTTCCAAATTTCCACTTTCTAAAAAAGTAGCACCACACACTTTAGATAGATATGATTTCTCACTCAAGTTTTGCATTTTTCTTTAAATGTAAGAAGTGAAAAATCAGTTGTTTGTATGTGATAGTGTATGTATTTTAAAGTTAAGTACACATGTAAATGCAGATCTGAGATTGTTTTTCCTCTTTAATATGATATCATTGTACTTTTTCACAAGAATATTGTTTCTCATCACTGTGTGTGCATATGTCAATTTGAAATTGAACTATGTGAAAAATGATCAACATACCCCAAAACAGTATGGTTACATATATCTAGATAAATGCAAATTACTTAGAAAAGCAACTTTTCACAGGAAAATGGCCCCTCTCTGGTGTGTGCTATAACAAGCCTTTTAAAAAGTTGAAAATGCACATTCATGACATTAGAATATTGTGTTTCTCTATTACATGCCAATACATGTTTGTTCAAAAGTAATTAGAAAATTTAGAACCATAATCATGGCTTTTTTTTTTTCAAGTATTAATAGTCATGTGAATTTTCAAACTTATACAAATCTATACATCCATAGATTTTACATATTTATGTTGTCTTTTCACTTTGTCCACAAATATTCTTTTTGACGGAGCAGACAAATAGAATTTCACTAGTGCATGTTTGTAGTGGAAGTTTTAGGTGTCCATAGTTAAGAAAACCAGGCCAGGATAACTCACAAGTGTAAATGTATATTTATAGCTTATGTTTTGAAAGTTAACCTCCAAGAAAAGTTAATACATCCTTACACTTTCAACAACTTATCCTCCAGTATGTATCTTTGAATTCCATTTTAAGTCTGAACTATTTGAAACACAGACCTACAATATTCCAAGTATATACATTTTTTTCCTAGTCATCAGGTCCAGTCATTTAATTTAGTATTTTCTATCAAGTCTTCTGATATGAGAGCAATGAAGTCACAGCAAAATCCATAACTGCCTTTTAATACAACCTGTGGATAAAAAAACAAGAAAATAGAATGAAAAAAAAAAAAAAAGAAACGAGACATTTATTTCAAAAATCTTTTTAAGAATAATACTTTAAGAATTTAATGAAAATATATTTAAGACTAGAGACTGTATAAAATAGTCATTTGTTTTAAATAAGGAAGAAGGTTTTTGGTTTAAAAAATTTAATGCCAGAGAAGTCCATCTTGATTAATTTTGTCAACCAAAATATTTTAAGGGATTTGATTTATTAAGGTCATAGCGCCTCACGAGGCTGGCATCCTGCTCTCACCCCATCACTGTCGAAACTCCTAAATATAGCCGTCTCTTCTACTCTAATAGCTTCATGTCTCGCACCTCTCGCCTGTGGAATTCCCTTCCTTTTTCCTGTTTCCCTGTGAGCTATAATCTCCAGCTATTCAAGTGTAATGTCAATCGACATCTCCAGTTGCCTTGATCTATCCACTACCCTCATCCTTTCTTCTATCACTCCTATCTGATCTTGCTCTAAACTTTCTGTAACCCCTTGCGTACTAGTGGCTTCCCGCCTTGCTTGGGGTGAAATGCTTAGAAAAAAAAAAAAAAAAAAAAGTAATGTCCAACATTTTAGAGTGTTTCAGTTTATCAATTTAGAATTCAGGGGAAAGAAAAATAAAAACAAATTGGAAACAGCTTCAGTGATAAAAAAATACGTATTACAGACTTTAAAAGTAGAAACTCCTTAAATGTGATAATGTTTAGATGTCTAATACTTATCTTTCTTCATTAATTTTTGTTTGCCAAAATGTTTTAAGAGAGTTTTAGATAAAGTCATCTGAAATGTCCAAAATTTGACAGCAAAGGATTATATTTTATTCTTCTAAATATAATTAATACATACTTAAATATAATAATACATGCTGTTAGGTAATCTCCTATGAAATCTGACAGCAAAAGAATTGAAATGTATTTTCCCTATTGTAAAATGACTAAATATTAATAAATGATATCCGGTCATCCTATAAGTAATATCCAATATTTTCCTTATTCTAAAATACCAAAATGATGGCATGCTGTCAGGTCATCACTGAAATATTGTCCCAAATTGGACAATGATAGATTGAATTATATTCTCCATTTTTTTTGAAATTCTTAAATAATAACTAGTGGGACCCGTGGAATTTCCACAGACTGAATGTTGAGTAAACAATAAACATTTTCTACGTATATGTATGCATAAAAATAACACATTAAAGAAGTAGCAATTAAAATCTCTACATATATAATAGAATGAGATATTTAGGAAACAAATAGTAAAACTGCTTATATTTGTACAGGTATATTTATAAAAACAAAGTTTAGCTATTAAATCTATCCTTTTTTAACATGTAATACTCATAGGATGGGAAAATAAACAGCACAGAGAAATACTTGGACGTGTCAACTATGTGTGCAAAGATTTGCCAATCAGTCTATGGTACTCTCACCACCCAACAGAGAGCCATGCCAGTTTCCTCTGATATGAATACAGAAAAAAATAGACCTATATATATATATATATATACAAAACTATGTAATACATGCAACATATAAATAGTTTCCTGTTTTGAAATATATATATTAGGACATATATCTAATACAATCAAGGGTCTCCAGAATTTCTGAAAACACTCCACTCCTTCAAGTTAGTACTTCTCGGCAGACAATGTTCTTAGTAACATTTTGCCCTCTTCTCCTTCCTCGTCTGTCTGTCTCCATCACCTTAACCTTTATATCTGAGTTTGTGAACTCTACAGTATTAGACTGAACACTGTCTGAGGTAAGAACAATCCCACCTTCTCAAACATGTCTCTGTGACTTGTTAATAGTCATGGCATATGACAAATGGACACAAAATTGGGTTTTCTCCTAGGTGAATAGAAAGCTAGAGTCACTTCGAGCCAGCTTTATTCTGGGGATGAGGATGTCTGCCACGAATCAAGAAAGCCTCATTTGTATGTTGATTCATGGGCCACCACTTCCAGTCTTGTACTATTGCAGAATCCATTCTGGATAGAAATGTTATGAAAAAGCATTAGTATTGAGCCAGGTTTTAAACTCTATTTATGAGGGGGCATTCCTGATGGTGTCGAAGAGCTTAAAAATTCAAGTGAGTAGCACTCAGCTGGATCACCTGTCAAAACTTTATCCGTACTATAATAGGTGCAGTAGTTACCAGGAAGTTGTCTCAAAATTTCTTCATTGGTCAGGAGGCACTCAGAGTTCTTTGGTGAAAGAATTACTCTGCTACTTGTCACTTCCTCAGATGTATTGTTGAAGATATCATCCACCAGAGAGCCGTCACAAATTTGATGCCATTTGGCAAAATGTCTAGGAGTCGTTCGCATGTTTGTACATTTTCTAGCCATCTATGGCAGAAATACAAAAGTAATGGCATGGGGTTGCCAGATTGATATCTAAAATCTAATAATAATAATTTAATATAAAGTCAAGCAATATAAAAAAGCCAAATAAGTTTTGATATATTTCACCATTTTTTCACACTTAAAACAAAGGCTAGGAATACAGATCATTATTAGCCTGCAAAATTTAAAAATAACATTCTTCTTATTTTTTCAAAGATGCATTTTTTATCCTATCCTAAGACATATTTTTTATTCTATCATCCTTCCCATCTACATTTTCTTTTAGTCAAATTTGATTTTACTTTTGGTAACAATTTAGACAAATGTAGTTTACACATAGATACACATTGACACAGGATGTGTAAAGTATCTATTTTTTCAGCATGAACTCACCCACCGTTGACTAGAGTTCAAAAGGACTTTTTTACTTTTGAAATGTGAATCAGTTGTTCAAATTTAAAAAAAAAAAAAAACACTGATAAATCTTTTGAGATTCTACTAACATGTATTTTATTACTGTGAAATAATTTATCATTTCCTTTCAGCATAACATGATGAAATAATGCCCTAAACTTAATTTATCACCAAATATTTTCCGTCCTGGGTAAGACGTTAAACTACATGTAACAGCAAGGCCTCTAGATCAGGAGGTTTTGAGGAGCATGAAACCACCTCTTAATCACTGATGTCTCCAGGTGCAATCTGACTGGGGTGTGATAGCACCTGTATATACTGGAACCTAACAGGTGCTACCACCCCAGGTCATTTTTGGGGTTAACTATTCACTTTTGATTTAAAACCCTAACAGGTGCAACCTGACCGGGGGTGGTAGCACCTGTTACA